CTAGCTGTCAGGGGAAATGCACGCCAGACTTCCTCTGGGACCTCAGTTGTCACATGGTAGCTGCTCATTGGCTCTTATGTTATGCTCTTGTGCATCTCACTAACATGAAATGTCCATTTCACACCTGATAGAAATTATTGCATATCCAAATCCAAGTTCAGCTCCACTCCAGAGGGCTCCACCTCCAAACATTTTCCATAGAAGATATAGTCTCTTTTTTTTCCCTAAAGGAAGATGCTACACCCTTATCAAATGATGATTGCATTCAGTCCGTGAGATTTTTGCACCACCTGGGTACCATATATTTTCTTCTCCATACAACAAGCCCTTCAGCTCTTGCTGCTGGAGTGAGGTAAGCTGGAAGGCAATGCTCTTAGCCAAGAATCTGCTCATGAGCTGTGGGCCAGACTGCCTGTTCCTCCTGCCTGTTACTTCCTCCCTTAGAAGTGTTTCAGACTCTCCTTATCAATGAACTGTCTGAAAATGTGTGCACTAATCTGAGAGAGAGTGGAAGTAAGTATGTATGTGTTGATTGGAGCTTTCAGGGAGCAGGAATGTTATCTGTCTCCATGGAACACAAAGGCTTGACCTCTAGGACATTTTGTCCTTATTTCCTGGTCCCTGCTGCAGCCTTAGAACATTGGCATATTTGTATGTGATTACTTAAAGGAATGGGGGAATTTGGGATAACAATAATAAAACAATAGCAACAATCTTATAGTTACTTACTAGATACTAAATACCACACAAAGCACTTTACCTAGGAGTTCATTTTGTCACAGCAATTCAGTGACATGAAGACTCTGATTGCTATTTTTTTTAAGATTTATTTATTTTTATTGGAAAGTGAGTTATACAGAGAGGAGAAGAGACAGAGAGGAGGAAGATCTGATGGTTCACTCCCCAAGTGGCTGTAATGGCTGGAGCTGAGCCCATCTGAAAAGCTAGGAGCTTCTTCTGGATCTCCCACTTGGGTACAGGGTCCCAAGGCTTTGGGCCATCCTCGCTGATTTCCCAGGCCACAAGCAGAGAGCTGGATGGGAAGCAGGGCAGCTGGGATTAGAACTGGGGCCCATATGGGATCCCAGTGCAAAGTGAGGACTTCAGCTGCTACGCTATCGCGCCGGGCCCTAAGATTGCTATTTTAAAGTTTAAAAAAAAAAAATGGAGCTTGAAAAAGTTTGTGTTTTCATCATCACGTAGCTGTTGAGTGGAGAGAATGAGGTATGTGCCAAGGCCTGTCAGAGCCTGTGTTCCTAAGCATTGGACTCCCTTGCTTCCCACTCATCGCAGATGCTGAAGCCATTGGGCTAAATATGATGACCAATTCCAAAAAAACTGTACCAGTACTGCTGCCCCACAGGAGAGAGAGCCCTTTGTTACTTAACTCTAAAATCCATACTTGGATAGGATGTTCCTCTACGTTCCCTGAGCAGTTGTGAAACATGGAGAAAGCAACCAACACAATGCCTGTCTTAACATACAGACCCGAGCTATGGAGAGGATTCTCATTCAAAATAAGCTACCAAAGTAAGCCAAAAAAGAGATTTCTCAGGCATCATTCGACCACTGTTAAGCCCTTTCTGTGTACCTGACATTGAGTTAGGAAGATACACATCATTAAGGTAAGCCATTGCCCTTGAACAAATGCAGAATGATGGATATAGTTAAATAAAGTGTTGTTCTGGCTTGGAAGAGAAGTTTAAGAAGCTCGGGTGGGTGTTGTGCATTTCACTACTTGGAATGCCTGTATTCCACATCTCATTGCCCGGAATTGGACCTGTGTCTGCTTCCAATCCAGCTTCTTAATAATGCAGTCCTGGCAGGTGGCAGATGGTGTCTCAGTTATCTTGAACCCTTTCACGCACTTGAGAGAACAGGGTGGAGTTTCTGGCTCCTGGCTCCTCCCAGACCCAGTCCTAGCTGTCATGAGAATGAAAACAATGGATAAAAGTGCTCTCTCTCTCTTTCTCATTCTCTCTCTCTTTCTCGTTCTCTCCCTCTCTGTCTGTCTCATTGTGCAACTGTGTATTTGCCCTTAAGATTGATAAACATAAGTAGATAAACTTTTTAAAAATGCTCAAGATACCAAACTAGCACAAAGCAGAGATTCATCGGCTGTATCCGGGGGAAGAGGAGGCTTCATAAAGGATGTGATACTTGATGTGATTTTGAGAAGCTGATGTTCACACAAAAAAGCATCCTAGGCACAAGGGGGTGGGGAGGTGGTTGAACAAAGGCTAGGACCAAGCCAGTGCTTATGAGAACCTGGAAGAAGCCTGTGTTGGCTGTAGCACAGGGGCTAGAGTCTGAAAGTACACTGTGACCATGGGCTCACATTTTCCCCTGTGCAGAGCCTGGGCTGTGTAAGGTAGGCTGGGAGCCTGCATTTTAACCTCCTCTACATTTAGCATACCAAGAGACGTGGTTCCCACGGCAGATAATAGAAGTCCTGGAGCAAAGTGATGTGAGTAGAACCCATCTTAAAACAGAAGGACATAGATTGGGCGGGGAGCGGGAGGGCTGTGCACATACAACCTCGGTCAACAGGGACCTCTTATTCCCACATAGACCCCAACTTAACATTGCAACCCATTCAAAAGAAACACATTGAAACAAAGATATGCTGGACATGATGGGAAGACAGCAAAGGGGACATCACACCCCACTGCACTCATCTGTTTGGCCTTCTGTCTTCCAAGGAAAGGATCACAAATGCAGCCACCACTACAGGAAACTCCTATGTCACTCCCTAAGCCTGCACTTTGTCTCTCCTTGACCTCTACTTCTGTTTGTGTTTGTGTCAAATATGATTCTCTCTCTGTGTGTTCTTTCTTTTATAAATTTTTCAATCTCCAATTCTCTCTTCTGCCCTTTTGGGCCCTTCTTTTTGCTGACTTGGCTTATGGATAGGCACAAAATTCTACTTAGAAAGGGATGAAAATGGTTCTGAATACTTACACTTGGTGTGTTTGACCCTGTCACTCCTGTCTGTGACTAGGGTGAACACTCCTAAGTCTGAATCCAGCTTTGATCCTCGGTAACTCTGTGATATCAGGCTAATGATACTTCTGGGTCTCCATTTCTTATCCATAAGATAGTGATCATTCCACAAATTCTTATGGGAGTATTCAGGTCAATTACAAATGAACGTATGATAAGCTGAGCTTAGTTCTGTGGCTGTAAGTGATGCTAGATGCTAAAGTGATCGTATCTGTCAGTCATTAGAGACTCATGGAGAAACCATGATTGTCTAGATGACCTACTTATCTATCAACTCTTGACAGGTTCCAATGTAGAGTGGTTCATTGGGATCCACTGCTTATTGCAATCATTCCCTTTTATAATGTGTATTTTATAGTTTATTGTGAATAAATCTTTTCCAGGGTCATACATTCTCTTGGACTTACTTCAGCAAGTCTCAAGGATGCTATGCTATGTCAGTTTCCTTGCCCAGTTGGTTTTTCCCGGTTGAATGCTCCTTCACAGGTTGACCTACACAGAAGTGATGTCCCCATTGGAGATATCCCCATTTCCATAATACTGGAGTGGTTCTTCATATTTATGTTCTTAGAGTTATTACTGAATCAAAACAGCAGTAATACTTAATCTGTGCTCATGGCTCAAACCTGCACCAATGTGAGACTAATTTTTCTAGTTGCTCTGCAAAATACTATGACAGTGATACATTTTTCTGTGCCTTCATCATTTTCAGCTCTATCTTTTCTGCTCCAGTGTACATTTTATTAGGGTATATCATGACTACCTACCATATTGCAACATAAGAGTACCAATTAGTGTTACTTTAATACCCACATCATCATCCCATCTGCGAATGTACCATAATTTACTTAATCTAAATTTCAATACAGGAGACTGGTAGCCTCATGCTTTTCTGTTATAAAGAACCTCCACATGCATATTTGTACATTTGGTTTTCATTTCTTGAGATTGATTCCTTAGAGTTATACTCCTGGAAATGGGAACACTGTGTCAAGAAAAACACATTAGTTTTTAAACCAGTGGATGTTATTTTTCCAGTTTACAATGTCATCAGCAACATATCACTGTTTACTTTCATTACAACCTTATCAGAATTGCACATTACTATGTGACATTAATATAGAGTCCCTTCTGTGTTTGTGTTTCTCAAAAACAGCAAGTTTTAAACATTTGCTTATACCTCATGCAATCTCTTCATATTTTAAAAACCAACTTACATTTGTAAACCTCGGTAAATATATTTTTCTTTTATATCAAGACCTCTTGCTGTTCTTCGCAATCATAATTTTGTGTATGAAACAAAGGTAATACAAAGTTTTTCTCAGTAGAATATTCAATTATACTCATAATAATAATTAATTATTGAGTTCTCACTTATGAAAGGCTGTTGGGAGTAAAATTAGAAAATTAAAATTAGGGAAAAATCAAGAAAATATATCTGGGCTGGTATTCCCGAGGCCATTTAACAGGGGTGCAATTAGAGTAGCTCAATCTTTGATCAGATTTCATTGACTTTCTCTCTATCTTGTCTGATTTGGCAGCTGACAAACTCAGAACTCTGTCCTGCTTCTCATACTTGCTTCCAAACTGTATCCCAGGAAATCTTCCTAATAAATAAATAAATCCCGCTCCCCAGCCCCTACATGCTTCACACAATATCCAATGTGACCTTGTTCCAGGTTGAGTAAATTTACCTAGTCCCATAACATAGATGGGTGCCCCAGCTGCACCCATCGCAGGGCTGAATGTCAGTTTCCCAAGACCTGGTCTAGCCCTCCCTTGTCTCTGAGACGGGTTTCTTCTACGATCTGCTCTTCCACCCATGAGTACCAAACACCCTTAATCCATCCTGGAGGTGAGTAATCACTTTTCTCCCTAGAGTTTTCTCTTTGACCTCAGGGTGTGAGGATTGCTTTGAATGAGGTCATTGCTACATATCAGTGTCTGGGAACACAAAGGAAAGAACTTACCATGTTTTCCCATTTTCCTTCTTGCAGCCTCAGCCGAGGGTTCTCCATAAACACGGTTAGCCTTCCAAGCTGCTGTCCTGCCAGTTGATCTGAACACGGCCTGTTCCTCCTTGAAAGACTTACTCATGGCACTGCCAGAAGATATCCTTGGAGCACAGACAGATTAACCGGATTAACTGAAAAAAAAAAATTCTGTCGAGATTATGGGCTTTGGAAAAAAAAAAATCTAAGTTTGCTGTGGATTTTAAAATGAGGTACATAGCATACAGTGACAATGCGTTCCAAGTGGTCATTGACAGATCATTAGCTGGGAAATCGCTTCCAGTTCTCATCACTGTGCATAACTCAAGTTCCCTTTGGGGAGCTGCCTGTCCCTTCACTAAAAGTCCTGTTTTAGCATGGCAACTACTGGATTATTTTATTATGTGTGCAGATGGCATGATGTTGTAGAAAAAAAATCACAGCAGTTCTGCAGTTGCAGTGAAAGTGTTTGCAATTGTACGCCCTGGTAGGAATGTAAACGTTGTCTCCGTGGTGTTAGCTATGATGTCCAAATGTCTTCTGTCTGAGTCCCAAGCACTTTACATGAGCACACGACACCAAGATGAGATAGCACGTTCGGTACATGTAAGAAAACAAGTATTCTTCCTTTTATAATCTTGTCTTATTTATGGCTCAGACTGTCCCCATTGCTAGCATATCCCAAGTTGTTTATGATAAACTGGTGTATATATGGCCATAACACTGTTAGACATAACCTCTTGGCACTTTACTGAATAAATGGATTATTTGTAGCACCAGAGAAAGGTGGATGAGGCCCTGGTGATTATAATACCTTAGGTTTTATCTCCTTGGGGACCTGGGCACAACTAGCCACCTGCACATACAGTTTCTTCAGTCCGGGAGGCTTCTTTGTGGCCAGTGAACGTTTTTCCTCATTCTGAAGAGGATTTCATTCAAAGAGAAAAATGGAGCTGCTGTCTCTTCAGCAAAGACACCAATGAGATGATGGTACAGGCTAAAGGATGCTCTTTTCCTATAGAGTATCACTTAAACTCTTTGAAAAAAAATTTCTAGGTCAAGTTTAAATCACAATTCTCTGAATAAAAGCTGGAAAAAAATCAAATGACTTCACTGTCTGCCCGGAGCAGCAAAGGGTTCAATGTCACACTGGGTTCATTCCTCAGTAGGAAACCTGCTAGTCCCTTTTCATCCTTTCTGGGTCTGTTCCCATGGTTAATTATTTTTTTTTTACTATGTTTTACAACAAAGCACAGTTCTGGGAAACCTATAAACTCAGCTATTGTTGCTCATCTAGGAGCGGTGAGAGGAGTGTTCATCTTGACTGGCCCTACGTAGGGCTTTATTTTTGCTTTTCTTGTTTTGGGTTTTTAAAGCCATTTTTGTTAAATTCGGCTGAATTAAAAACTCAGTCATGTAATGTTGTGAGACAGGCGGACATCAGAGGAATGAAAAATTAATCTATGTACTGACTTCTAGAACCCTCCAAACACAAGCCAGCTCAACGTTTGAAGGTGTCTCTGCCGTGCACCCATTGCTTGCCTCTTCTCAGGAGCTCAGGAAATGCTGAAGTTTCGGAAACCAGCCCTGGCTGAGGTTTGGAAAGCTGACAGGAATGGAGAGAAAGCTACCAATGTGACAGGAGTGAGTCCCCAGTAGAATGATTCACCACCAGCCTGTCGGGCTGCAAGGGCAGAGAAGGGGCCTTCCGAGGAGGAAGCAGGGGAAATTTCCATCACCACTGAGTTCTGGCCTTTCAGGAGGTCAGCTCCACGACCATCAAGCCCTCAGCAGAACAAACCTCTCTTCAAAGCCAGAGTTCAGACGCCCAACCCCGGCTGCCTATGTCCATGGCCAAACCATCCTGGTCTCTGCTGCCCTTTGCAGGAGCTTCAGTTGTAAGGCTCTCCCTCCTCCGATTCCTTCTTTTATTCAGCAGACATGTGTTGAGTGTCAAGCACGTGCCAGGCCTTGCACTGAGGTAAGAGCAGTGTAAACAGATATCTCCTGCCACTGGGAAACTGCATCTCTTCCTCCCAAACACTATGCTACCCATGTTTCTCACAATGGAAGCTGAGTCCAGGAAGCATCCACTGCCAGGAAGATGAACACTGCAGCAGCAGGTGGAGTCCTTGCCTGCAGGAGTAGCATTGCACAAAGAGGCATCAGACCCCATGAGAGCACATATTTGTTCCCTTCATCTTCATCCTACCCTGCCAAAAGGCCTTCCCACAGCACCTCTCAGTTGCTTAGCCTGATGTCCATACCTGGGCACCCAGATTCCCATCCCTTAGAGAGATACAACTGTTCACCACCATGCTGGCTTCTGTAAAGTTCCAATTCCAGAGCAAGTGCTGAGGACAGAAAATTGGGCCTGAAGAACCCTAAAGAACAGCTGCCAGGTGCTGAGCTAGTGGAGCTGGGCTTCAACTAGTTTAACCAGGGACATGCTGAGCCGACTGTTAACACCTTCGGAAAACAAGACCTGCTTTGGGGGACAGGTGTCTACTTAATCATATTCATTTGTTGCTACTTACTTAGGCTTTTTGCAAAACATCCTGAACAGTTAAAATGAGTAGTTTCCTAAGAATTTTTTGGTTGTTGTTAAAGGAGAATTATTGGAAGATTATCAGTGAAGATGGAAACAGTAAAAGGCAGACAATTAAAGAGCCCAGCAGAAGAGGGAGTCTGTAAAAAATGCCTTAATGCCTGGAACAAAGCATTTATTTACATATGAACTACTACTCTGTTCCAAGTGTCTGACCTCTGGAACCATTTGGGAGAGTTTTGGGAACATGATAGCGTGCAGTCTGAGCAGTCAAGAGCTAAACCAGCAAAAACTGGAGAAACAGTGTTTTCTCAGCTTTTGGCCTCTTGGCTCCATGATGATGTTCCACGATTACCCACAATCCCTTCCTGCTGTGTTGTTACTTCTTCACAAGATGGGTGTGGGAATTTTACCTCCCAGAAATGCAGGAATGGCCGTGGTGTGTTTTATTTCATGGGAAACAAACTCCGGGGTGGCAGGGAATAAATATTTTGATGTGTAAGGGCTGTGTACTATTGATGCTTAATTTTTTCTTTTACTTAAACCCCTGCTACACCCTTTATTAAAAGGGTGACACCCACACTTGGGCAGGAAAGGCACTCTTGGGAATGAACAAAATGAATAATTATCGGTCTCTGTAAGGGTGCCAAAGGGATTAGCTTGTTCCAGCTCCGGATCTGGATTTAAACACGCAGAGCCTTGGCAGTTCTGCAAAAGCGGGGGGGAAAGCCAGTGAATCATTTCAGGTGAGACATACCTAGGGGCACAGAGACCATGCCAACCTTCTCTAATCGCAGTGGTGAACCTTCAATGGCTGTTCCAGCTCTGCAAGCTATTCACCCACAAACTTGACTTCTACCTCCAGCATACGGGTCAACACGCCACATTTCTCTCCAGGGTGACATCTCAGCTGCCCAAACAGAGGCACACGGTCCTTAGTGCTATGGAAATTCCGCCATTTTTAACATTCAGGGAGGAAAGAAAGCTCAGCCTCACAGGAGAAGGCGAGCTAAGGGTAGAAGTCTCTAATGGATTTCCCCCCTCGTTTCTTGCCAGTGCTTTCCTTGTCTGCAAATGTCACGTAATTGATTGTGGATAGCAACAATAAAAGACTCAAGGAAGTCAAGTTTCCAGGACCCCCCAGAGCACTTTAGTTTTACCAAAACCTCCTCTTCCCAGGGCATTAGCAGCCTCTTTCCTGGCGATGTTTTCCTCTTTGTTCTTCTCTATAATTTTGCTATGTGACAGCTAGACTTAAAGCTGTCATAGATACTCTGTAAAAATATGATCTTTGCAAGTGACATAAATTCCTTCATTTGTTGAAAACTGTTTTTAGTTCCCTCTCCCACAGCCCCTTACACCCCATTATTTTTGCTTTGTTCTGTGTTTTTTTTTTTTTTTTTCCTTTTCATCTTCTTTTCTTTTAGCTTGTGAGTAGATTGCAGGTATTCTATAAAGAGCTCATACAGTGCAACCTGGTCATCACCTGTTCTCCCCAGTCCTAACAATTCCTTCTTAGATGTGTTCCGAATGGTAAGTTGCTACCCAGACAGCAATGGGGCACGGTTCTCCTGTCTGGGAGACAACTGGTCAGTGGTACTAATCAAAAGGAAGCATTGGGCATCTGGGTGATCAGGAAGAAGGTCAGCCCAGGAGATCTTTCTACTGGGCACAGCTTTGAACTCTACATCAAAGACCAGCAGGTCCTGCCTCTCCGTCTTCGCAGATCTGCCTGTCATCCTGGGCCAGGGAACTGCCTTGTGCATTCTGGTTATCAATGAACAGGATGTTTAGCACAGCCATGTGACTTCAAGGTTAAAAGAGGTCCACACTCTATTGTTTCGCTCTGGTGACGTGTCTGGTACTTTCTGAATGATAGCATCTTCTGAAAGATGCAGGAAGCTTGAAGAAAAACGTGCCAAATGTATAAGGAAAGTCGTGTCGTGAATCAATCAAAAGAAAAACTAAATAGCTGCTTCTTATTTCGGAATGTGGTTTGCATCTGCCCTGATTGCCTTCTTTTTAGTCCCTTCTCGGCTTAGCAGGGAAGATTCTTAGGTGCCGAGGCATGAAACCAGGGAGTGTGGGCAGGCACTGTTGCCAAAATCTTCAGATTAGAGAGGGAAATGGACAAGTAATAAAGGTAAAAGGGTGTCATTAATGGGCTGAGGTAGGTTTTCAACCTCCTGACCAACAGCAAAAGGCCTTTCATGGAAGAGCAGTAGATGACTGTAAAAGGATTTGCAGAACGATAGTTTCATTACAATTTTGAAACACCCTAAGCATTCTAACTCCAGATCCTCCCATCTCTCTCCCAATTATACCAAGCTCTAGCACCACTCAGTGAAAGTCACTATATGAATTATGTTGAATTACAGGTGGCCAGTCAACATCATTCAAGACTAATTCAACAAGTTTATGGGGGGAAAAAATAAGATGAACATATAGGTTCATTTTTTTTTAGGATTTTAATTTATTTTTATTGGAAAGTCAGATACGCAAAGAACAGGAGAAACATAGAGGAAGCTCTTCTGTCCAACTAGTTCAGTCTGCAAACGGCTGCAACAGCTAAAGCTGAGCTGAGCTGAAGCCAGGAGCCAGGAGCTCCTTCTGGGTCTCCCAGGCAGAGCCCAGTACTTTTTCACAGGAAAAAATCCTTAGTCACAAGTGGAAATCTTTAAGAGAACATGACAAGGGGGAAGATACTCACATCTGAACATTCAAATCTCTGTGTTTGTCATATTTGTTCAACTCCAACCTTGGATTCCCAGAATGGAAACTCAGCCTCTTGCATGTTTTGGAACCCACTGGGAGTCAGAGGCTCCATTTGCTTCAACACACATATAGGTAACTCTGAGGTTCTCTAGGCTTTAAGGAGTTTCCTTTCCACTTTCTTTCCTTCACAAATAAAGAATGATTGTCCTCACCAGGGTAAGCTTGAGGACACTCCCGTTTGGTTAGTAAAAGGTGCTCACATTACAGAAAACGGCCGAATACCATCATCTGACTTTGTACTCCTCTCATTTGTAATTGGAACAGGAGTAACCATCCTGCTGAAAAGCCAAGTCAGCATCAATGTTTTGAAACTAATTCCACCAAAACTCATAGATCACTAAATCATACTACTCTAGTCCCAGTTAATCCGACTACTTAATATCATTAGGCACTGAATTAAATAGCCTTACCCAAAATTTTAGGAAAGATCGATACGGTAACAAAATTACATATTAGCAGTAAAAAGCACCTGAGAAAAGAAAATATTGATCTGTTGTGGTTTATGTACTTGAGTTATTCTTAGGACTTTGTGGAGACTGGCACAGCTGTGATAAAGGGGAAGGAAATGCTCTCAATTCAAGAGTGCTGGAGGGGTAGGCATTTTGAACGGCACGTTAAGCTGCGTCTTAGGACCCCTGCATCCCATGTTAGAATGCCTGGAACAGATGCCACCTCCGCTTCCCATCCAGCCTCCTGGAGGCAGCAGAGGATGGCTCAGGTACTTGGGTCCCTGCCACTCATTTGGGAGACTTGGGTTGCGCATCTAACTCCTGGTC